CCAGAAGCCACCCTTTTCAATATCATACAGAAACACAAGTTTTCACAGCATATTTTCAATCTAAGATATTGAAACATTAGTACGAAGGTCTAGTCTCGCTCAAGTATCTGGATCATCATTGCAGGGCTGTGACTTTTAGGCGTAAGACAACAAGGCCTTAACGTTAAAACTGCCTTCCTTAGAAAAGGGTCTTAAAGTCGGAGGAGTATGGGAATTTCCAAAAGTCCACATAAGGCTCACAAAAAGGACGCCCTAAAGTCAGGGACTTGCAGGGAACAGGTAGCAGGGCCAATAGACGAAATTCGTGGGGTGTCAATCAGGGCCGCAGGAGCAAGCCCAAGACCCCATCCAGAGGATATGGGAAGAATTTCCCAGCCAGGAAAACACGGTCAGTCTTACTTCACAAATCTCCCAGACAGCAGAAGCAAGAACTCTACACAATGAATAAACATACACCATCAATCCACGTGAAGGTATTTCAGGGTCCAGTGGGCGGGCGTTTGTTAGCTTTAATAGCTTTGGAACATCATAATGACCGAACCGAAATACATCGACACACATCAAGATCTCATTTACTCCCCGCGGGAATGTTAGTAGGATGTCAGAGCCAGCAATACCCACACGCTCTACGGTAATGGATACCACTATTAGGAGCTCTTACATCTGTGCAGGATCTTTCAATCAGAGGCCGACTGTATCTAAGATTTTTTTATAACTGGATAGATCAGCATCAAGATCAACAGCTGGACATCAAGTGCCCACATGAAGAAACAATCCTGACAATGTCATACACCGGTCCCCAGTCAGGGGGTGGAGGTTGGACTAGGGGTTGAGGGGACGGGGGAGTTCATTTGAAGACCAGATGCCAGCAGGAGTTAGATTCACCAGTCCACATCAACATCCTGAAGATGTGAGCAGTTTTACTAGCCATCCAGCAAGGGCACCAATCCTCTGTAGGTCTGGAAAAGACACTGTAGTTGCCTGTATCAACAGACTCGGAGGAACCCTTTCTCCATTCTTCGTGGAACTTATGAGAGAGCTTTACCTTCAAGTGGACAGTCTGGACTGCAACATTTTGGATAGACACATCCCAGGGAAGATCAGCATCCTTGCAGATGCACTATCACGCCGGAACAAGATTCTATTGATGGTGTGGATGCTTACATCCGGAAGCCTTCGGGCAGATAGCGATAAAGTGGAACAACTTCATATAGATCCGGTTACAACATCCCTCAGCAATCAATTGCCAACTCATATCAGTCAAGGAGTTTCAGATGCGTTTCCTCAGCTGTTAGCTAGTCAGTCAGAACTTCAATATCTGCTTCATATGGCTATACATTGGACCGATTCCAGCAGTGAAGGTTGATTGTTGTGATCCTTGAAGCTTCTCTTGCTGCACAGTTGAGTCTAACACCTCAAATGGTAGATGAAGACTAAAAATATGAACCGAATTATATCCAAATATGAAGTTGATTTGGTCTTCATATGAGTGGACACGGTATTGACCTGCCATGATGTAGAAGGACGTATTCGTAAGAATTTTGGACCATTATCAACAGTGGTAATAACTCTTAGAATACTACATCTAGCATTTGAGGTAGATGCCCACGCATTATCCCCCGAACATACCCAAGTACTTTCCTTAGGGTCCCCTAGGAAAAGTTATGAAGTTCTAGCGCCTACGTCAGGGGAGATCACTCCTATAGATAACGCTGGGAAAGACCACTAGGAAGAAAGACAAACACAAGGCCATGGACTTTTATCCAAGCTAACCTGTAGATCAGAAACCAGTTTCAGGAAATATATCAAGCATGTGTTACAGGTATACAGGTAGTATTCTAGGAAATATGACCGTTGTTGATAATACACTAATAAACCATGCAGTGTCTGAACCCCAGTTACATGCAGTAAGAGACAACATCGGTATGCAGCTATCCAGAAATCACTAAAGACGAATCTCAGAAACGGTACACTTGTTCCACCATTGTGGACCTTGGCAGTATAACATCATAAGTCACGATATGGCTGACATACTGCCGATGTGACTTTACATTTCAACTCACTCACTCAGTACATCATTACGGGGCGGTGGGGTAGCCTAGTGGTGAAAGCGTTGGCTCGTCACGCCGAAGACCCGGGTTCGATTCCCCACATGGGCACACTGTGTTAAGCCCATTTCTGGTGTCCCCCGCCGTGATATTGCTGGAATATTGCTAAAAGCGGGGTAAAACTAAACTCAGTCAGTCAGTCAGTACATCATTACACTGAGTAGTACTGGTTGTCATCACACAGAAGAATCAAGTAACGACCACTTATATCACAAGAGAGGGGTCAAACAACACACTCCATCTCAATCACCAGTAGTAGCCAGACATGCTCCTGCATTGCACTTGGCACAGGAAGCAGGTTAAAATGGATCCCCGCTCTTTTCAAGTTCATTTCCAACAAATTAATTTGCAATTGCATGCAATACAATACATATACCTCTTTGCAAGACTTGATTACTCTTTCGTACCTTCGCATATGGACAGGCACTTCAGGTTATTTCAACCACATTCAAGGCTACAGCCACAGACAACTTTGGAAGTGACCTCAGGAATTATCGTTTCCTTTATTTAAGTATATAGATCACAATAATTCTATCTGTAAAGCATATTAAAATGAATGCTGAAGTCGTTGAAAGGTTCATCTCCAACTGCGAGTCCTACATAGTTGGGTCTTTTTTCAGGCATAATAACTATATTTGCGAATATACAGCCACGTAAATCAGACTTAAGTTTGTTACATGACTTAGGGATGTCATCTATCATCGGATGGTATGGTAAATAAATATTGCAGTCAAGGAATCTAGCACCATCCGGGACTCCAGGCATCTTTGAAGTTGGCCGGGTTAGATCGAGGGTCTGAGGGTGGGTCCATCGCAGGAACCCGAGTCCCATTCTTCAGGGCCAGCATCTGCAAGAGGGAGTTGACGAGGGTGGGGTTGTCCTTGGAGATATCATGGTGCTCTGTCGGGTCGGTGCTGATGTTGAACAGCATAACGCTGGGGAGACGAGAGTCGTCAATGAGGGGGACGTCTAAGTCAGACTCAGGAGGAGGGTACCATCCTGAGTACCGACCAGGGTTACCAACGATCAACTTCATGTCTCCCCATCGAAGAGCTGCGGCATGGTGGGCGTCGTAGATGTTGTAGACAAATTCATTCCTTACGCTGCTGCCTCCATTCAGGATCATGTCGACTTGACTCACCCCGTCGATATCCAGTTGACTGGAGTCTCCTCCAGCTATGTCCAGTAACGTAGGGTACCAGTCCACGGCATGGAACATCCCAGGGTGAGTGTAGCCTCTCTTCTTCAGCAGAGTCTTACTGTAGACGAAACCAGCTCCCCTGGTGCCTCCCTCCCATAGTGTGCCTTTCCCACCCCTCAGAGGCCAGTTATTACCACCTTGAGTTGGAAGCCCACCATTGTCTGTTGTAAATACAAGAAGCAGATTGTCCATGAATCCAAGGTTCTCCAGGACAGTGGTGATGTTGTACACAGCATCGTCCAAAGAACTCACCATACCACTGTAAACCATCCTATTTAAATCATGAATGTGGCTGTAGCGATCGGAATATTTAGCAGGCACCTGCAGTGGTCCATGTACAGCTTGAAACGGCAGGTACAGATACATGGGCTTGGATTTGTCGTGGTTCATTATGATATCGATGGCTCTCTTTGCAAACACGTACGTGGAGTATTCCCCTTGTGCGTCTTTGTAGACATCTGTCATGTTCCTGAAGTCATAGCCGTAGTAGTCAACAAGCCTGTACCTGTCATGAGTGAAATGGTCCTCCATACCTCCATAGTAGCCCATGAAGGTGTCGAAACCTCTGTAGGTGGGAGTGTACTTCCAGTTACAGAAGCCGAGGTGCCACTTGCCAACCATGTGGGTATCATAGCCAAAGGTCTTCAACCTCTGTGGGATGGTGATCAGGTCCGCCGGCATGTACTTGGGTTGTTCAATGAAGACTACACTATCCTGGAGCCCCGTGTGGTAGGGGAACTTGCCCGACATGAAGCAGTTTCTTGAGGGGGAACACAGCGGCTGGACGTAGGAGGAGTTGAGGATGACGCCGTCACGGGCGAGGCGATCAAGTGTCGGCGTCTGGATGTCTGGGTTGATCCAGCCAACGTCATTCCAGCCAAGGTCATCTGCCACGATGAAGACAATGTGTGGTTTGTCAGCAGCAGCAGCAGTGCTGGTGAAACACGAGACTACTACAGCAGCGAGAACAGTGTAAAGGGTCATGGTCCTGAAGTGGCAATAAGCAGTGTATGTAACGAGTACCTCATGACATTTCTTGATCCTTCTGCGTTAAGATCAATATATATGTTACCCTTATCAGATCACGTTAAACGTACATGGCTGCGATCTTATCACATTCTTATCTTGAAACATTTGATGGCCCATTTCATGTTTCTTATTTTAAGTGACCTGAAGGTCACTCAAATACATGAAAAAACATTTTTCATGTGCGTGAGTAAGTGCGTGAGTGAGTGAGTGAGTGAGTGAGTGAGTGCGTGCGTGCGTGCGTGCGTGCGTGCGTGAGCGAGCGAGCGAGTGAGTTAGTGAGAACCCTTCGAATGAGAACCCTTCGCCGTCTCACTTCCCTCTTCGCTCTAAGAGCTAGTGGTTCCATATATACATTCATATGCGCCACACCACCCCAAACTATGTAGTACCACGCACTGTGACTGAATGTCTTACTGAGGTAGTTCCATACAGACATTCATACAGGTCCACAGAGCCTTGATCCGTCATATGTGTATATATATATATATATCTGGACTAACGACTCACTCAGCCAGTCAATCATTCCCAGGTCCTACACAAGTTAAGGTGATATGAGCTGGAGACGATCTCACATTACCAGGTGATGGGGTCAATGTGCAGATCATGCACCCGTCCTACATGGCCACTGAAGTATGTCTGGTTAGCTGTCAGTACAGACGGAGTACACTCAACACGGTATGCCAGTGACAGAGGTAAGTTGATCGCACCTGTATTTGCTGACTATTGTGTCACTACAGTTATGCATTATTTACATATATGCCGAATTGAGATTAATGGCTGTCCTAAGCTACCCATCTTGGTCATAAGGAACGTAGGGGTGTACTCTCCTGTGTGGAGGTGCGTGTCTGGCTCATTGAAATATAGAGAGTCGTGTCGTGCAGCGTCAAAACCAAACGAATTTCTGCATGTAAGAGACGCAAAGATTGGTTGTATCTACTTAAAATATTAATCGGCTTTATGCGTTTAATTTTCGAGTGTAATCAGTTTTGGTCTTTCGTAAAGCGAGTGAAACTTTTAACCTCGTTTAACACTCATTTTGAATGTCCATACTTGAACATTGTGTAAACGTGTTTTGCGTCGTCATTTGCTAGACAAAGGCGAGTGGCTCTTTGTAAATGTTCACTCCTCAAACAAACAGGATATAATGAGAATGTTGATTTGTTCATAAAATATTCCGTACAAATACAATAATCCTAGTGAACGGTGACAGCCACATGTTCGTCCACTGGGGTAGTGCAAAAACGTTTGTAGCTATATAACATTATTTAGAAGACAGCTGGAATTTGAAGCAGAATGCACGTAAAAAATGTGACAGTGCAGTGCAGTGACAATGAGTATAAAAGGTTAAACGTCGGTCAACATCTTGTCGTGCTTTTGTCGACTGAATGCAGACACTGATTGACAACATCGCCTCAGAACGTCTTGAAGCTGAGAGTCTGCAGTTGTACATCATATCATCATACACCAGAGCACTATAGGTTGTCATTACACCGGTTCACCCCAATATCGATCAAGAACTGGTAGAGCAAGTGTAACAAGATCGTTACATCCGGGTCCTTTATTGACGTCATCGACATGATACTGCCACTGAGACTGCAGCACGTGCTTGGTTCGGGGGCATCTGAACAAATAATTCGGAATCGTCAGCCAGAGGTGGAACCAAGGCCCGGAAGACTGGTATTTGTCCTGTACTGAGACGTTTGCATCGTCGACATCATATGCGATGGAGCAACGCCGTACATGCATGGGCTGTGAGAAACTGGCAGCGAATCTGCTCCCCGAATGACAGCCTCTCTATGTGTCTCTGACCTACACCAAACTGCGTTCAATAAGTCGACATCACAGAATTGTGATGGTGTGGACCTCCACACGGAGATCTGACTTGGTAGTTCTTGGGAATCAGACAGCAACTTGGTACTGCGGCCAAATTCTTCCTCGTCACCTTATTCCGTTTATCTACCGACAGAGGGTGTTGTCCCAGCATGACAACGCTACAAAACGCAACTTGGTTTGTTGTTGACTCCAGACATAAGTCTCTTGCCATGGCCATCAAGATCTCCGAATCTGAACCCTATTTAGCATCTGTGGGATGAACTCGATAGACGTGTCCGTCGACGTCGTCAGGCCACCCTTGTTTAATAACTTGGCAAGTTATTTTACTTGGATTACGGACCCGCCTACCCTAAATTTCTGGTAATTAAAACAACTTTGGAAATTGTCGATTTTTCACCGCCGACTGTACAAAATATTTCTTATTATTCTGCAAACATTGCTCGGAAGGGTAAAAAAATGGAAAAAAATAATGGCATATTTTGCAATGTTTACCCTGTTTAGAAAATATTCACTAATGGCTTTCGCGGTCGTTATCGAAGTTGTGGTAAGCAAATAAGAGTTACCCGCCCCTGACTACAGCTCCCTCTAAGCGTCGTCTGCAAAAGGCGGGTACGAAACACGGTGGGAATCTGACAGGTTTTGATTTTGATGCACGTTTGTCGTTGACGACATGTCAGAAACATTTTGCTTTTGCATAGACTGCGGCAGAAATGTGAATAAGAAGGATTTAGATGTACATGTAGCAGACATAAGACTTTCTATAGGCAACTTCTTGAACCAAGAAAACATCGTTCATGATTCGGAGGTCATCTTGTTGGCCTTCGGGTCTTCAAGTGAAAATTCAAGAGAAGATCTATCCATCGACAGACTCCGTGATCTTTCAAGTCACTTATTGACTTAAGCAACAGGCGTTACATACACATACGTGTGAAGGATGCAAACGCCGCTGCCGACGATAATGTCTGGCAGACCGTCTGGCCCCGTCTTAGAAACCACCACCGAGAAATGTATTTAACATGATCGACTGCCTGAATACAGAATTTTCATGCATTTTCACGCAGGAATGTTTTCGTAAATTTTTGTAGAATTGTAACATTATTAATTTAACGTGAAGTTTTACTTAAATATTTCGTATGCAACCTAGCCGAGACTAAATTGAACAACATTCTTCAAGTTTAACGACAGTAGTTGTATTTCAGAAATAGATCATTAATTATTAAATCATAACTCCCAAATTTTACAAAATTACAGTTCTTCAACCTTTGTTATATATCTATATCTGGATTAACTAAATCAAGATTTATATTTATATTTTATCGTCGATATAGGAAGTTGTGACCCAAACAAAATATATTTTTTGTTTAATCTTTGTTCAAGTATTTCCATTAAATTCCTCAATAAATCTAATCTATTAAACCGTACTTTCAAACTCATTTGTACAAAAACTGAATAAAAAACATCTTGACTGACTTATCAGTGTGTTTTTCCCTCCCTCCTCCGACTCTGCATTTCAGTTGAAAAAAATCCGTAATCCGAGTTATGTAAAAAGGGTGGTCTCACACGCCACGGAGAATGGTCCAAGTGGTCAACGAGTGGCAGGGGGAATTCCATAAGACAAAATCCCAACACTTATTCAGTATATGCCAAGGAGCAGTGAACACCGATAAGGGTTATGTCTCCTGAACACGTGATGTTCACCAAGTTTCATCCTTGTTTCCATAACATTCTTGTATAAATTTGAACAGTGTATAAACTTCGAAAATGTCAATCTTTACCAAGGTGTGTCCCTACAGTGGAAAGAAACCCCTGCCACATAAATAGTCACAAAACCTTTCCACACCCAGAAGAAATCTTTGCTACAAGCAGAGTCGATGTACAATTGTGACTATATCCTGAACATCCTTGTTTCAGCAACATTACAGCGTAACGATGTTGTTTGTAAACAACTCGAATCTGGACCAGGCACAAACATGGCCTAAATGTTTAGACTGTACATGTTTGTGATATATGTGTCAACCTAAATATGGTGTAACAATGAAGGCACTGAAGCGTTCACAATACTGGTTCATAAGGTGTCTGTGTGTTTTCCCAGCGTCTAGGTTCCCGACTGACGGGTCGACCTGGTGGCTGTGGTATATGATACCGATGTGGTGTTTACCGTATTTCCCTTTCATGTGTGACAATTTGTTACATGCCAATGATGATTTGTCTATCTTACAGCTCACATACCAGTAGGATATAGCTCAGATACTTGAAGGATATAGCTGATATACTTGAAGGATAAAGCTGAGATACTTGAAGGATATAGCTAATATACTTGAAGGATATAGCTGATATACTTGATGGATATAGCTGATATACTTGAAGGAAATAGCTGAGATATATGAAGGATATAGTTGAGATATTTGAAGGATATTGCTGATATACTTGAAGGATGTAGATTAGATACTTGAAGGCTATAGCTGAGATACTTGAAGGATATAGCTGAGATACTTGAAGGATAAAGCTGATATACGTGAAGGATATAGCTGATATACTTGAAGGATATAGCTGAGATACTTGAAGGATATAGCTGATGTACTTGAAGGATATAGCTGATATACTTGAAGGATATAGCTGATATACTTGAAGGAAATAGCTGATATACTTGAAGGATGTAGATTAGATACTTGAAGGATATAGCTGATATACTTGAAGGATATAGCTGAGATATTTGAAGGATATAGCTGAGATACTTGAAGGATATAGCTGATATACTTGAAGAATATAACTGATATACTTGAAGGATATAGATGAGATATTTGAAGGACATAGCTGAGATATTGGAAGAATATAGCTGAGATATTTGAAGGGTATAGCTGATATACTTGAAGGATATAGCTGAGATATTTGAAGGAAATAGCTGAGATATTTGAAGGATATAGCTGATATATTTGAAGGTTATAGCTAAGATATTTGAAGGATATAGCTGATATACTTGAAAGATGTAGATAAGATACTTGAAGGATATAGCTGATATACTCGAAGGATATAGCTGAGATATTTGAAGGATATAGCTGATATACTTGAAGAATATAACTGATATACTTGAAGGAAATAGCTGATATACTTGAAGGATGTAGATTAGATACTTGAAGGATATAGCTGATATACTTGAAGAATATAACTGATATACTTGAAGGATATAGATGAGATATTTGAAGGATATAGCTGAGATATTTGAAGGATATAGCTGATATACTTGAAGGAAATAGCTGAGATATTTGAAGGTTATAGTTAAGATATTTGAAGGATATAGCTGATATTCTTGAAGGATGTAGATAAGATACTTGAAGGATATAGCTGATATACTTGAAGGATGTAGATTAGATACTTGAAGTATATAGCTGATATACTAGAAGGAAATAGCTGAGATATTTGAAGGATACAGCTGAGATACTTGAAGGATATAGCTGATAAACTTGAAGAATACAACTGATATACTTGAAGGATATAGCTGAGATATTTGAAGAATGTAGCTGAGATGTTTGAAGGGTATAGCTGATATACATGAAGGATATAGCTGAGATATTTGAAGGAAATAGCTGAGATATTTGAAGGGTATAGCTAAGATATTTGAAGGATATAGCTGATATTCTTGAAGGATGTAGATAAGATACTTTAAGGATATAGCTGAGATACTTGAAGGATATAGCTGAGATATTTGAAGGATATAGCTGAGATATTTGAAGAGTATAGATGATATACTTGAAGGGTATAGCTGAAATACGCGTGCGAGACAATTAGGATACATGTAGGATATAGATGAGATACGTGCAGTACATAGCTGAGATACGTGCGGCACATAGCTGAGATACGT